AACGCACCGGAAACACTATATACCGTTGTTCGCTTTTCATTGTTACATATTTTTGTTTAACACATTGGCAGCAACAGAGCCAGCGGAGAGCCTGTCACTGCATGTTTTATGAACCATTCGGCTGCTAGTTATGCTCTTGGCGCTTCATAAAATACGCAATATATGAGACCCACAAACATTTGTTGTGATTTTCTGTAAAGCTTGTGTTTACTTAAAGAGCTGAATTTAAAATGAAATATGAACAATTTTGAAGCAAGCATCAATTTTAAACGCTTAGCCAAGTCAAGAACCCGCGCTGCCAGCGCGTAGGCAACGTTGAGCAACGCTCAAACTAGCCGCGTTAGCCAACACTATGGAAATCAAGCAACAACAGCACTGAAGTAGCGCTGCCTGGCTATAAAATATCCTACAGCACTGTTAGGCGCTCGTATGAATAAACCTTCTGTTAAAATGACTTTTTAATTATTATGTTAAGTAAATAGTTTAGTATAAAATGTGCCTAAATTATATTAAATGTTTTATAGTAGCTGTATATGCCCTTTCATAGCAGGGTATGTATTGACAACGGAAATGTTACTATAAATTAATTAAGCGCTTACAAGAAACACACAAGACAGAGACTAAGTCAGTAAACTTGAACTGCACTTTAACAGCTTACAAATTTTATTAGTTACAATTTATGACTTGAATTTAGCTAGAAATTATTTTATATGCAGTATTAAATTAGGCAATGGCAACGTTTGTGTCTTTTACATAGTTGTTTATGTACGTGCCTCGAGGTGTACATTTGTGCAAACGACAAAATAAATTAAAAACAATTAAAGACTACACAATTAACAGATGTTAGCACGTACAAGACATTCACAATGAGATGACATTTTGTTATATTCAAGCAGCTATTTCGACTTCTTGGACTCCAGTGGCGCCTCTTTAGCCGGCAGCCGTTCCACAGCCTGTTTGTACAGTTGATTTAGTCCAAATGTGGCGCGCACATTGTCGCTGGAGAAGAAGAACTTTTGCAGCTTGCCCTTGGCATCGCCGCAGGGCCGACGATCCACCTCCTTGCCCTGCTGGAACAGTATAACCGTGGGCAGCTGGCGCGAGAAGCTGCTATCCGAAATGCGAAACTTTTGCCCAACATCCGGGAAGCGTCCAATATCGATTTTGCCAAATTTCAACAGCTCCGTATTGTATTCCGCCGACAGCTCAGCGAAGATGGGCGCAAAATTCACACAGGTCGGATTCCAAACGGTGTAGAAACAAATCAGCCAGCTGATGCGCTTGTCGCGCGCCAATTCCTCCTCGAAGACCTGTGCATTGCGGAAGTAGGTGATGTGCTCTGGGCCACGATACGAGGGCTCCGGCAGCAGCATGCCGACCAGCACGCATATCAGCAGAAAGCCCAATCCATAACGAAAATCTGCGTACGCCCAGAGTATCATATTGGCCACTTTTGTGTAGAGAAACGACGAGGTCAGATAGTTGATCATGGTGACGCTGCCCGTTTTGCGAGATCGTATCATGACCACAATGAGCAGAAAGAACAATATCTCTACCTCGCGGCTGTCCATATCGCAGACGTCCTCCTGGTCGGCCTGCTGGAAGAGGCGCGTGCAAATCACCTTTGTCTTCTTTGCCAGCAGATACGATATGGCTAGCAGTATATTAACCCAATAGTAGGGCTTGGCGAGCACGCGCAGCTCCTTTTTCCACGACATGCTGTTGCAGTGCGGCCTCCGAAAGTGTGTTTTTGTATCTGGGTCACCTTTTTAATTAACAACTTCCCGTGTTTTTCGTTTGTTGTTAGCTAATTTTGGCGACGAACAATCGATAGACAACACCAGCTCGATAACCTCCGCCAGCACTGTAAACCCTTAACAGAATTGCTGCGAACTTAACAGATAAGTATGCGGGCCAGTGTTGAAAGTGCGCGCAAAGAGCAGCACACGTTAAATATTTAAATTTAAAAATAGATCAAATTTGCGCAAAGTACGTCTGAACTTGACATCTAAATACAAAACACAGGTTAATATTTTTTTTTGTTTGTTTTTGTTTGATTTGTTTATATACATGTGTTGTCAAAGGCCATTAATCTGATAGGCTCAGTACTCATTTGACTTTGCTAGCCTTGCCCAATATAAAGTCCACATAATCTATTTATGCGTATGTATATGTTTATATTGTTTATATATGGAAAAAACACGCTGGTTTATAATCAGCAAAACGAATCATACTACGTGACTTCGGACGCTCGTGGCTAGACAAATCATTCAGTGTCAGTATTTTGGGCACCTCTTTTGCTCTTTTATTTTTATTATTGTTTAATTTTAGGTAAGAAAATACAAAATAATTGCAAACGTGTGTTTTGACTGTAGCTGATTGCACGCCGGGCGAAATGCATAAATACTGAGCTCAATATATAGTAAACAAATCAAGCGTCACAGATGTCTATGATTTACGACATTTTATATAATTATCATTATAATGCTCTCAATAAATTGCAAATATAGCATTTACACAGACTTGCCATTGCCGTAGAGCCTGGCAACAGCCGATCCATCATTGAACAATGAAATCAATTTCAAATAGATTATGATGTATTAAAAATCGGGTTACAGCTTTACAGCATTAAGCAGCTCAATCAGAAATCAATCGTCGATAAGGTTGTAACATAATAGCTCTTAAGTGTGTCGTTTTAATAAGGAATTAATTAAAGAACTGCTAATCGCAAAATAAAGCAAAAATCTTGTGAATCAGTGCGATCACAAGATTTTTATAATTTAGTATAGTTTGACGCATCCCAAGCTGCGCGAAATGGCAATCGATCAATCAATCTGTATATTCGTAAATACAACATATACACGTTACAGGCTAGTCGTAAACAACTTTTCAATAAACGAAACAATAAACATTAGTGAGGTCAGTAATTGCATCAGCAGGTATATATGTTCATATACGCAACTTATATAAATATACAAAAAATAACGAAAAAATAGCTATAAATACGGGTATATCTGACTGTGTAATACTTGTTCAATTGATAAGAGATATTTAAGCCTAGTGAACGCAGGCAACCTATTTTTGGTTTGTTCTATAAAAAAGCTCTGTAGTAGTCCGCAACCCAATTTTGCCCATTCTAGCTCTTAAACTGTGGAAGATGTGGATTATCAAGTTTTTAGGGGCCTGGCGTGGGTGTGGACAAATCGTTGTGGGGTATTTGTGTAGCTACTCTAGCTTTAAGACGGGCTGATATAGATGTATGCTATTTTCCCGCCAAAATGTAACACCTAGACTACACGAATGCATATTCCAAATTTCATGACCAAGATGCACCATGCACAAAACCAATATACTTTTCTTTGACTTTGCGAACGAGTATAAAAAAAAGAGCCACTCTCTAGAATAGACTGTAAGATCGGTATAGCTGGAAGGCACAGCAAACCGGTAAAAACCGGCTTAGTTGTTGACTCGACATGAACCGCAAAGATAGTGCTGCCATATAGATGCGTTCATGGCCAACCAGAACTGGGCTAAGAGTCCCATTAATATACTTTGCCCAAGCACCTGACAATTTGATATGTATATTGTTTCAATTGGTTTATCTGCCAGATTTTGTGCGATAATTGTTTGTTAGGCCAAACACAATTTTAATGACTGACAACAAATTTTTCGACGAATTGCGCAGTTTTCAAACAAAATAGATTAGAGAAGTTTTTAATCAGTTTTAGAACAATGTCAAATTCTATCAGCTGCTAAGCATACGACCCGAACGGGTGCGGGGGCCACACACAGATCAAATGGGTTCAAATCCATCTAGTACTTGCACATACATACATATATTGAAAAACTACATCCAGCAAAAAGAAAAATCCAGCACGTTCACGCTGCATACACACACACACACGCACACTGAGACACACACACACACACACACACACGTAGTCAAAAACAAAATGGCGCCCAAGCTGATCTCTGTCTCTCTCTTATCGGTGTTGATAAGTTTCATTGTGTGCGTTGTCTCTATAAATTTCCAACAAAGCCCCGCCACAGACTCAGTTCAGTTCTGAACCTGTTTCGTGTTGTGTCTATATACAACGTGTGTGCTCCCAAAAACCTCTGCAAAAGATCGTGGAAACCATAAAAAGCCGGGCATTTTTAAATGCCGTACAACAAGAATTGTGCAATCGTGACTTTATAAATAATTATTGGCAAATTTGCATAAATTTTGTGAACTTCTCAATTGCGATTTGAAAGCATTTTCCAACTGCTTTAAGAAAACAAAAAGAAACTCTTTAACCACCAAATTTGAATGGTGCTGCGCGTTAAAAACTCGAAAATTGCTCAATACGTGAATAACGTCTATTATAGACTGTACGATCTAAGCAACCTGCAGCTGGCACAGCTTTTCTTCTTCTTAAATAATCTGAATTTCAACAGTAAGTGTACGAGAAAAAAACGAAATTCATTTGCTGAAAAATTTGTAAATTGTAAATTTGTTTTATTTTTTCCTTTCTGTTTTACCGCAGTTGTGGACATGGCCTTGCCACAGGGAGCCTTTGCCGCCTGCAAGATACGTGAGCAGTTCCAGGAGCGCGATTTGATCATCTCGCGTTTGCGAGCCGCCAATATTGCTGATAAGGCTGATAACAATGCGCGTAAGTGCGAACAGCTGCAATCAGACTCAATTCAACCGACTTACATGTGTTTTTCTCTTCTTGTGCTTCCTTCTTCTAGAACGTGAATATTTGCCGGTCAAGTATAATGACAAGCTAATGAATTCGATTTGGGGTCTGTACAATCGTTACTCGCCCCACAATGTCAAGAAGAACGAGTACGCTCCGCCAAAGTTCTAAATAAATCTGGCGGTGCAGCAGCTGTAAGTAATAAGCCACGCGGAAGCTCCCCTATTGTATTTTATCCTATTATTTTATTTATTTGTAGCCTTTTTAGAGCTGTTGCGCCCCTTGCTGCCACTATCCCATTACCTATGTACTTGGGGCATTGGCCTTTGTGCTTGCTGCACACTCATGATCTATATAGAGATATACACATATATATATATATATACCCTCCACATATATACTCAACTATATACAAATTTTAAAACACAAAAATTTAAAATAACAAATTTAATCATTCGCATCTATGTAAAATTCAATAAATACTCGTGATATGTTATATATATATATATATAAACATATATGAAGCATCAAATATGTAAGCGCTTTCTTTGGGACTGGGCAGATATATATAGACCATGGCTAATTGAACCAGCTGCCAGGCATCCATAGCTTCAGCTTCAATTTAAATAGCAGGACTCGTAGGTCGGCACCATGTACTTGATATTGATGAAGGCATCCTCGCCGCCATGCAGCTCCAGCACCTGCAGCGTCTCATCAATCAAATCGCCCAGATTCAAATTGTTCTTTTGCGCATAGTCAATTTCATCGCCGCAGTTTACTGAAAGTAATTGTGAATATTATAAAATTAATAGCTTTTAGATAGAATAAATCTTACAAATATTAATCGAATTTCTACCTACGCTGATCTTCAATCTGTACTCCGATTGTACAAAGTTTCTTTACTAGTATAAAATACCATTTAACCCTGGCTGTACATTTTTCTCAATTAGAAGTCTACTATTTTTGTCTTGAGCTATACTTAAAGAGTTTGCTCCGACTGACTGGTGTCTGAGCGTCGGACTAACAAGCGAACAGTCGCTGGTTCAATTCCAGCAGCAAAACAGAGAAAAAAAGGGATTCTAGAAGATCGAATTCATAGATGCCTAATGGATTTTTGTAACTGGCAGATTTTGGCGCAGTTTTCTTGCTTCCAGCTCTATATCGAAACTTACAGTTTTTCACTTTGAACGCATTGAACATGGGCAACAGTTGCCTGTAGAAGGGCACCAGTGCGGGTCCCACCATATCCGAGGCCATGACCAGCTGTTGTATAATTTTCAATGTCGTGCACATCACCTCCACATTTCTGGTGCTCAATGCGTCTGCAAAGGAAAAAAGCACACAGAAAATAAAAGTTGCAAGTGCAAATTTAAGCAAAGACATTTGCGTGCCACAACAAATTCCATTTTGCGGGTTTTTCTATGTTCATTTCTTTTTTTTTTTTTGTATTCGCCCCCATCACGGGCAGGTACTCACTCTTTAAGGGTAGAATTAATTGCGGTACCACGGGATGGATTTTGTCGCCGCCGGCGAGCAGCAAGTCGCTAACGCCCTGGCGTGCATAGGTCTTATAGGGATGTTTTGGCTCCGCCAGGCCATCAAAGAACAGCGGCAAATAGAGGCTGTAGTCCAGCTTGTCAATGTCCACCTACCAACGAAAATGATTGGAGCAATAGAATTATTGACAATTGTGGGCGGGATTTTTATTTTGTTTTTTTTTTTTAGTTGGGTTTGACACTTGTTTCGCCCATTTTTACAGGTGCAAATTTTGCACGCGATGCTTGTTAAGTTTTTCCTGATTTCTATTAAGATGCTTTTGGTTTATTTTGCTAACCAATTGGAAAAGTTAGCAAAATGACACAAAAATGTGTCATCTATATCTGTATATACATATATGGCTAGGAAATTCCCGTACTACTGAAAATAATGTTTAGCCAAATAATTGAATTTTTATTTTTAGTTTTTACATTTCTTTTTTTTTCATTTTTCATTTTCCCAATCTTCCATAGAGCTAAGTATATTTTCAAAGACGCAGTAAAAAGTAGTAAAAACTTTGAAAGCTATAATATATTAAGCCGTATAAAATCAGACCTATCATCATTCTGTTTATATATAGAATATTTCCCTATTATAATTACTTTCCGTAGCAGAAACCTTTCCCACTTCACGCTCCTTCTGCAACTTTCAGTCTGACCTTCAGCCTGATTTCGCATATGACGCAAAATGATATAGTGTCACTCACGTATGGTTCAAATGTAAATGAGCTGTCAGAACTGTCTCATGGCTATATAAACAAACGCACCTACTTGGGCATCATACCATCTATATAAAAAATATCACTCCCAAGGCACATGACATTGAATGGAGCCTAGGCCCGGTTACGCCCCAATGTTCCCATAATTTGTTTTTTCTTTTTTGCTGACTGACTGCCTGCCTGACACCTGGACGTCACGGCTTTACGGAATGCCTGAAATGAGACGGATTCAGTCCGTTTGCTTGCTGCTGTTTTTCCGGAAATAGACAATGGCATATTATATATACAATGCCAGTGAGAGTTCTTGTTCTTTTTTGTGCCACACTTCAAATAATTGGACACGCAGCTGGTGCTGTTGGCTGAAGAAATTTGGGCCAACACTTATTGGCAATTAGTTGGCATTGAAGCTTGTCAGGTAATTTACGGTTCAAAGTTCAGCTAAGCTCGGTACTTAGCACCAGAAATCATACAGCAACTAATAGGGCTTCAATTAGGTTAATAGTTGGAAATTATTGGAAAATTCTCGATTTTAGATCGATTTGATTGTCTAGCTTTAAAGACAGAACTTAATACTGGCTTATACAATTTTCGCTTATAATTCCCAAGGAGTTTAGGCGAATTTCGTTGCGTTGCCAGAACGCTCAAAGCTTTACTCACCGTCCAGCCAATCTTATCGCCACCGCATAGATATTCCATTTTAATGGGCAAGTCTCCGCGATCGAAATACATGCGAAACAAAGTGCCACGCCCCGGATTCTTAACCGCCGTGCAGGCGTGAAGACTGGCGCCCAAATTGCTTGACGAAATCGACTTCTGTTGTTTCTTCAAACCTTAAATCAAAACAATGGTAAACAACAATTACTTTGCTAAAGTTAAAGTAATTTAAGGATCCACTAGGAAATACGCACATTTGGGATTCGGCGCTCTGCCGCGCGCGCTTGCCGTTACGGGTGGCTCGTGAATGGGGCCGTTAATGACGACCGTGTTTTTTTGCTGCGATTGTATGGAAAATGGCGGCACATAACGGGGTCGCGAACCCTGTATACCGCTAAATGGCCGTAATTGCGGTGGATTTGCGGATTTGGAACGTTGTTTCAGCGATATGGAGTTTGTATGCAAATCGTGCGACGGCCGTGCTCCAAAGGCGGTGGTTATCCGTGCCTGAGACATATTGCGTGGGTGCCGCTGCCAACAGCTGTCGAACTGGAGTCACCTGGCGTAAACAACAGACTGCCGACCAAGATGCAGGAATTTTCTAGCCCGCAAATTCGGCGGGCCCACTTCGTGTGTTGGTATCGCTGGCGTTACTATGGCACGCGTTGCTAGGGCAGCCAAAAGCGCACTGACTGATAAGGCACATTGTTTACGAATTGCATTCAAAGGTATTTATGCATACTGCTGTCGTTACCATTGCCAGTCAACAGCCTCATTTCACGAAATTCAAATGGTGCACCGCGCCAAATAGCGATGCATCGACTTTGTTTACATCTTGCAGTGGGACAGTCTGGCAACACCGAGCAGCGCAAAAAAATAATACATTTTTTGCTGCCCCACATGTTGCTCGAGTATACCTAAATTGTTACTCGATATGTTCAATAGTAAACTGCATCTACTTTTTTACAAGGAAAGTTAAACATTTATGATGTGATTTCGAGCACCAAATATTTTTTTTAAATGAGAGCCGTACACTTGTTATAATTTCCTAAACGCGCCAATGTGTGACCAAAACTAACAAAAATCGATAACCATAATGTATTGACAACGCGTTGAAAAATACTATTTATCTAACATGTATTACAGTCATATACCAAACAGAACTGACTATTCATTAAAGCTGGAATTTATATAATTAAGCAAGCTTACTTAATGTATAAAAAGGACTAAAAGTATTTTGAAAATATATTTAAATACTGGATGCGTATTTTTAGACCATCTGTGACTGGTCACTTTAAAATACCTGTGACTAGCAATTTTACTGCACCAGCTCTACTGGCGACCGAATAAAGAACAAATGTGCGTGAAAAAATGTCCCTTTAAATTGGCTATTATTGTAGGGCAGGTATTGTTTTAATTAAAAGCCAATATACCGAAAATACGTAGCATTTGTGAATGATCAACTGGTACGCATATGAAAACACAGCGACCCAAACAAGAAGAAGAACAACAACAGAACAGCCAGCAACATGTCTTCCAATACAAATGGCAATGGGGAGTTAAAGAAATTATCCGAGGAATCGCTGCTGCAACCGCCGGAGAAGGTCTTTGACATCATGTACAAACTGGGCGAGGGTAGCTACGGTTCCGTTTACAAGGCACTGCACAAGGAGAGCAGCTCCATAGTGGCCATCAAACTGGTGCCGGTTGAGTCCGATCTGCACGAGATTATCAAGGAGATTTCGATTATGCAACAATGTGATTCCCCGTATGTGGTGCGCTATTATGGCTCCTATTTTAAGCAATATGATCTGTGGATCTGCATGGAATACTGCGGTGCCGGCAGCGTTTCGGACATTATGCGTTTGCGCAAGAAGACGCTAACCGAGGATGAAATCGCCACCATACTATCGGATACGCTCAAGGGCCTGGTCTATTTGCATCTGCGCCGCAAGATTCATCGCGATATCAAGGCGGCCAATATCTTGCTCAACACCGAGGGCTATGCTAAGCTAGCGGACTTTGGTGTGGCCGGTCAGCTGACGGATACGATGGCCAAAAGGAACACCGTGATTGGCACACCCTTCTGGATGGCACCGGAGGTCATTGAGGAGATTGGCTACGATTGTGTCGCGGACATTTGGTCGCTGGGCATCACAGCGCTGGAAATGGCCGAGGGCAAGCCACCATATGGTGATATACATCCCATGCGTGCCATATTCATGATACCCCAAAAACCGCCGCCCTCATTTCGCGAACCCGATCGCTGGAGCACCGAGTTTATAGATTTCGTCAGCAAGTGCCTGGTCAAGGATCCGGATGAGCGTGCCACGGCCACGGAGCTGCTGGAGCATGAGTTCATACGCAATGCCAAGCATCGCAGCATACTGAAGAACATGCTGGAGGAGACGTGCGCCATAAGAGAACAGCAGCGCGCCAATCGTGCGGCCGGCGTTGCCATGAGCCAGGCCAAGAGTCTGGCCACCCAGGAATCGGGTCTGATGCTTCAGGAGGAGGAGACCGAATTTAATTCGGGCACTGTGAAGACTTTTATAGACGATCCCGGCACCCTGGTGCCTGAGAAGTTCAATGAATACCAACAGAACTCTGCCTCGGATGCGACTATGATAGCACATCCGGAAGAAATGGATGAGGGCACGCTGGGTCCAGGCGGCATCCGCGCTGGCATGGCCAAAGCAGCTGCCAAGGCGGCAGCAACAGCAGCAGGCGGTGCTGGTGGTTCATCCGGTGCAGATGTGGCAACTGTGGATAGCGGCACTATGGTGGAGCTGGAGTCCAATTTGGGTAAGTAGAGGACATGGGCTACTACGAGCTCTCAAACTGAAAGATGAAATGAAATAATACGCAAGTCGCGAGTGCCTAAAATATTAGGTACCTTGCTCCATCGATATTTATCGATTTTGGGGAAACGATATTTATTGATTCTTAGATGAATTATCGATCATTTAAAATATGCTTAAAAAACTATTTATCGATAATTTGAAATCTACTTTTGTGAGCCTAAAAGCTAAGCACCTTCAGCTCTTATTGCAGTGTCGACCTTTACCAAAGGTTAAAGCCATCAAAAGAAAGGTTGATAGTTCAGCTTACGGTTACCACATTCATTAGCCCAGACCTTTTTACAAACCTTAGTTGACATAGATTATTGAATGAATTATGGGGCCCAAGCTACTTATGCTATGTCTCCTTCAAATTGGAATTCCGAGTTCGAGGCGGTTCGATTCCAAACTGGTTTCTAGCCGTGTACTTTGCACCATTTCCTTTGGTACAAGCTATAAAAAGCACACAGACAAAACATCATATAGCCTATTGAACAGCTTTTTCTTGTCCGCAGGCACAATGGTCATCAACTCGGATTCGGATGACTCGACCACGGCCAAGCGGAATGATGATCAGAAGCCGCGTTATCGCTATCGACCACAGTTCCTCGATCACTTTGAGCGCAAGAATGCGGGCGATGGACGCGGCGATGAGAAGGCAACAAGCACGCCCACGGAATACTCGCCGGCGGCTGCGGAACAGCAGCTGCAGCAGCAGCAGCAACAACAACAACAGCAGCAGCAGCAGCAACAACAGGAGCAACCGCATTTGGCCAGCGGTGCGCATGATGCCAACAATTGGGAGCACAACATGGAAATGCAATTTCAGCAAATCTCCGCCATCAATCAGTATGGACTGCAGCAGCATCAGCAGCAGCAACAGCAACAACAGCAGCAACAACAACAATTGCTCATGGCCTATCCGCTGATGAACGAGCAGTTGATTGCGCTCAACAATCAGCAGAATTTACTGCGCAGCAATGCAGCGCAGCAGCAGCAGCAGCAGGGGGGAGCTGCAGCAGCGGCAGCTGCAGCACAGCCGCCGCCCGCATATCAGCATCAACATTTACACACACAATCCCATGCTTATGTGGAGGGTGAATTTGAGTTTTTGAAGTTTCTTACCTTTGACGATCTGAATCAAAGGCTCAGCAATATTGATCACGAAATGGAACTGGAAATTGAGCAGCTCAATAAGAAATACAATGCCAAACGGCAGCCAATTGTGGATGCAATGAATGCGAAGCGCAAACGCCAACAGAATATCAACAATAATCTGATTAAGATATAAGAAAATAAAGTTAAACAAAAAAGAAAACGCAAACTCAACCGAGCAGCAGCTGATATTGTAAGTGAAACGAGAACGTAAAAGCTTTATTGTAAAATGCACTGAAAATGCGGCAAAGCAGATAAATATATATTTATATATAGGAACTACTGATTATAAAGGAAGCAATCACGAAAAAAACATATTCTAAAATGCACGTATATCGTTTCGTATTCGCATAGTGGCATATAATTTAAATATTTCTTCAGTTCTGCTATCTCAACTGCCCAAAAAAAAATCAACCCCCTCTCAAAAGCCTGCTCCTGTAAACTTAAGACTTAATTGGTGCGTTCTACCTTTTGTTAACTAAACTATATAATATAATTTAAACACCTTATTAACAAATTTTGTTTATCTTTTAATTTAAACAAACACTATTTTAGTGCATCACAAAGAAAAAGCAACTTTCAAGCAATAAAAATAAAAAGCAAATACAGTTTTTATAACGCATTGGAATGCATATTTTTCGAAGATATATATTGACACATACACAACATACACACACTCACACACTCACAATACATATATAAACGTATATATATAGTAATTCTAGCGTTTATATAAATAATTTACACAATAAATATATATATATATATATAAAGAATTATATGCAAAGAATTATTTGATTATCAACTGTGCTAAGCAAAAATGTAGTTCTTTGAAATTCAATTGTCCACAAAAAAATATATATAACTGATAAATTTAGCATGTATATAGAATTTTCCTGTTCCAGTTTTTTGTTTCGATCAATAAAGTGATGACAAAGTTTAAGAACTTTTGTGCCTGGCTATTCGGCTATATCCATTTGCTGTGCCGCCTGCTGTAAATCGTGCAGCTGTGCCCGCAAATCTTCGGGCAAACTATGTTCGTTCAGCGCGCTGGGATCCTCACCATCGACAACAATCTCCTCGGGATTAGGCGCACGAGGCAGAAACTCATCGTTCTCATAGAGCTGACTAAATATATGCTTTGCATCGGCTATGGCTGTATAATAGTCCACCTCGTAGGCGGGCGCGGCGGTGCAATAAACGGGCGTGGCAGCACTTGCATCTGCATTCCTGGGCGCCGCGATGGTAAAGTAGGCGCTGTAGAGGATCTGGGGAGCATTTGTCTCAAGCAACTGAGCCGTAAAGTCGGCCAAATCGGCAGCAGGATCTTCGCTAAAGGCGGGCGTCGTTAAATGGAGTATGTCTAGAAAATAATTTGGGGATCATAAGAATTAAAAAGTTAAGAGTACAGATGTGCTTTACATACACAAACCATCCGGACAGGCGCCCGAGTAGTGCGACAATTGTATTAGGCACGCCTCCCGTTGCCCATCGTTAGCCAACAGTCGCAACAAATTGACACCACCGCCGCCCTTATTTAGCTCCTTATTGCCCAACGGGCTGGCGGCAATGAACAAGCCTCTGGAGATATGCGGCTGCAGCTGGCCATAGTGTGGGGCCAATGTGGCAGGCAGTTGACCAGGCGCACAGACAATATGCTTGGCGCGCAACGTTTTGCCCGCGCTGCTCAACAGCAGCTCCTTGGCGTCCGGCGTCCAACTGATGTCGTCGACGCTGCGCTTCAGACAATAAATGCCGCCATAGACGGCGCACAGGCGACAAAAGCATTGCGGCAATTCACCGCAGCCGTACATGGGAAACAGAAATGGGGTATTGCCATAGTGGCACAGGCTGGCCAAAAAGCGTTGGGTGCGCTGTATGCCCGTTTCAAAGCTGCTGCTGGCATCACACATGGCTATAGCCTGCATTACGCATGTGGCTATCTTGTCCGTAACCTGTTGCGCCTTCAGATACTCCAGAAACGTGCGCCCGCGAAAGTCGAGCGCGTCCTCATTGCACTTATCCTCGCCATAATAATTGCAGGCCGTCAGAAACTTCATGAGCAGACGCTTCTCCACCATGGTCAGCGTTTTGGTGTTGAAGACATCGCTGCGGGAGCAGGGTACCGAGACGAGTTCGTTGTTGTACAGCATGCACACATGATCCAGGGCACGGAACTCCGCATAGCGGCAAATATTGGACTTAATTAGCAACTTCACCAGCGCGCCGGCAGAGTAGGCGACACGAGGACTCAGATCCAGACTGAAGCGACGCGACTTCTCCAGCAATGTTTCGCGCGACCAACGGGGTGCCCTCTCCCCCGCTGGCTCATGCCAGGTGTAGCTGCCGTTACGCAGGCTGCAGCTGGGCTGGTCCAACAGCTTGTTAAATGCCTCCAGACTAAATGAGCTCCAAACGTCGCCATAGTAATCATTGGAATCGATGTGCAATACCGTTTTGCCAATCCGACTGGCGGCAGCGGCAATGCAGGATTCAGTGAAACCTAACAAAGATTCATGAGTCATCAGATAGGTGAAAAAGAAAACGAAAACAAATAACGCCCAGTACCTGTGCCTATGACTATCAGATCGAATTCCTCAGGCAGATCATCCGACATGGTAAGTGCTTCAAAGTTTATTTATTTTTCCGTTGATGTATTTTTATTTAATTAAATTTATTTAAATTAGAGAGAACTTTTTACTTAATGTTATTCCAGCTGTTATCTACTTTATGATTAGTATGCTGCACACAAAATTGAGTATATTTGGTATTTAGTAAAACTACCTGTGCACTGCTTGCCAGAGCGGTAGAATTGTTTGAAAACTACTTGTTGCTGCCATAGCCAAATGTCAAAAAGTGTAAGCAAAAAAGTTGTTTCTATTATTTATATGCTTTTATCTTATAACCAATTGTCTGTACTTAATTTATTAAATTAATTAAATTAAAGAGAGTACAATACAGCTGTTAGCTTTATTTAGCACGAACAAAAGCAGAAATTTTTTTTTTACTTCTTTTTTATTTCAGCTACGGCCACACTGTTTGCTAGAGCGAGTAGTATCGCTTTGAAAAACTACTTGTTGCTGCCATAGCAACGGCTAAAAAGCGTAAACAAAAGGAGAAAAAACTTTCGGGTCCAGCAAAATGCAGCACAAGTGCAAAAAGATTATAAAAAACATGAATTTCTAGTAGTTCGATGCCGAAAATGTCGTTTGAGAAGATATTGTACAAATACGATGAGCCGCACGGCATTGGCGACGTGTACTTCATTTGGCAGAAGAGCGCGGGAGCTTTGCTGGCCACAACGGGCACTGACGGCTCCGTGGCGTTGTACAACCGCCAGGGCCAACTTGTGCAGCGCATCATATTGGCCGGGTAATGTACGAGGTACTGCCTTTATGCCCATTTAAATAACCAATGCATATTTCAGTTTGTGTTCTGGTTTTGCCTGGGATTGCGAGGGTGACCTATTGGGCATCATCACCAGCACATCGCCGAATATAACGCTCTGGGATTATGCAACACAGCAGAAACTGACGGTAGAATCGGGACTGCGTGATCCGCTCACCTGCATACTGTGGTCCAAGCAGCAACAACTGCTCGCTGTGGGCACAGGTCGTGGCAATCTGGCCATCTACAATCATCGCAGCGGCAAGCGTACCCCGGTGCTGGGCAAGCACAACAAGCGGATTACATGCGGTGCCTGGTCGGCACAAAATCTGCTTGCTCTGGGCTCCGATGACAAGAGTTTCTCGCTGAGCAGCGAGGATGGCGACACGGTGCGCATTGTCCAGCTGCGTGATGCGCCCACGGACATGTATTTTGCGGAAATGGCCAATGATGAGCGCATCGCGGGTGACAATGCCCTAAGCATGATTATTGGCAAGCGTACGCTATTTTTGTACTATCTGCCGGAGCCGGAGAATCCCACAGAGCTGGGCTTTCAGAGCCGGTATGGTTCGCTGTTGCAGCACAAATGGTTCGGCGATGGTTATATACTGTTGGGCTTTTCCAATGGTCATGTGGTTGCCATTTCCACGCATCCCAAAGACGTCGGCCAAGAGCTGTGGCAGGTGAGGAATCACAAGGACACGCTAACCGGCTTGGCCTACTGCCCATCGCTGGACATTGTCGCCTCCTGCGGCGATGACACGTTAGTACTCCCCTGCAGCTATGCCCCGAGCTTCTAATGACTCCTCTCTCCAACAAACAGCATCAAAATCCACTCGATAACCAATCTGCAGGAAACGGAACGCATCATCACAGTGCCGGATCGCGCGAGTGTGCAAATGATTGACTGGTCGCCGGACGGACAACTGCTGGCGGTCACCACCAGCGGCGGCACCGTTTACACTTATGTGACCAAGCTGCCGCACATGTTTGCCGTCTCCGCGCCACGCCTCGTCATGTTGAGCAGCCTGGCCGAGGTTTCGATTTATGTTTATGCGCCCGACAAATCCAAATCATTGCCATTTCGCCTGCCACTGGAAACGGAGCCGACGTTCCTAGCCATTGGTCCCTATAATTTTGCTGCTGGCCTGGACAAGCATGTCTGGTTCTATGATCTGGGCAAGAGCCTGGGCGATGAGCCGCGTCCGCTCAGTGAGCGCGATTTGCCGCATGACATTGCAGCCATGAAACTGAATGCGGATTACTGCGCCGCGCTGTGCCCGCCCCAGCTAATACTCCAGGCCATAGCCGCGGACAATCCCAACTGCAGGGACAAGCTGCAGGCGTGCTTTCCCAGCGCGCTGCCAACCATGCCCAGCGATGCGGTCATCACGTGCTTTGCCCTTAGCCAGGAGCTGCTCATCTTTGCCACGGATGTGCGTAAGTTGGAAACATTGTTTGGCTGTGGTACTTATTTTTATTTATCTTGCAGATTGGCCACCTGGTCTTCTACTCGCTGGAAAAGTGGGACACCTGCACCATCTATCGCCACAGCAATGGCATACGTCAGCTTTTCACAGACGTCGAGGGCACCAAAACAATTTTCATAGATGAACATGGACAGGGCTTTGTCTATCTGCCCGCCTTGGATCAGGAGGCGCTGTTGATTGCGGATCTGCCCAAGCAATGCGTGGGCTGTCTGTGGGACTTAACGCAGTCGAACATCTTTATAAGCTATGATTCGCGTATGGCTTATACTCATGTCTTTGCGCGCCACTCGGTGCGTGGCAGACACACACAGAAGCTGGGCGAGACGAAGCTAAATCCGGGTCAGGTGCCGCTGTTGGTGTGCGCTGGCGAAATGGCTTTGCACATCGATGGTGGCCAGTATGCGACCCAATCTCTAAGCACACATGTCATCAATCCCAGCAATAGTCAGTCGGATAATCTGCTGCTGCTGCTGCGGCTCAAGAAATACGATGAGGCCTACAAGCTGTGCGAGCAGATGCAATTGGACAGTGCCTGGCGACAGTTTGGCGAGCATGCAACAGCAGATCTGGAGCCGGAAATAGGTGTGCAACAGATACTAAAATACTGCTCCTTCCTCTATCTGCGAGCTTGAATAAGATTCAAGTCGAGCAATGTAAACTAAAGCACTCTAATTTTTTTGATATATCGTTCTCCTACACAGCTCTGCGCGCCTATCGCCAACTGGGTGATGCTGCGCTGGTCAAGGCGCTGGACGAGCTGCGCTACATTGAGGATCTGCACATGCTGAGCGGCTGCTGTTGCATGCTGCTGGCTCAATACGATCAGGCCAAGGAGTATTTGCTGAAGGGCGTTTACACACGCGCTGCACTGGATCTTAGCCGTGATCTGCTGCAGTGGGATCAGGCGCTGCTGTTGGCGCACAAATATGAGCCACTCGAGGTGCCCTTCATAGCACGCGAATACGCACAGCAGCTGGAGTTCACGTAAGTGCGGCCAATTAGATTCGAGATTTAATTAACAATTAATTTTTCTTCGTCTAGTGGCAACTATGCGGATGCTTTGTATCACTATGAGAAGGGCTACAAGGAGGACTTGATAAACAATGAGGATACGGAACCGCCAACGCTGCTACACAGCACGCCCGAATACGAGGAGCATGTGCGTCTGTGTAAAATGGGGATTGCGCGCACCTCCATACGCGCAGGCGATTTCCGACGTGGTGTAAGAGCTGTTGTGCCTTCGTTAACCCCATTCCCAACTTTAACTTTTCTTACTATTTCCAGATTCAATACGCTGTGGAGCTGCAGGACAAGCAGTTGCTCTTCGACTGCGCCGAGCTGCTGGCCACTGTGGGTCATATTACAGAGGCGGCGGGTCTGTACGAACGCGGCGGCTATTATGATGAGGCCTGCGGGCATTATATAGCTCTTAAGATGTGGCACAAGGCCAACAACATTTTGGGCCATGTCAAGAGTAGCAAATTGCATGCGGCTTATGCCAAGGCGAAGGAATCGGATGGTCATTTCGAGGAGGCCATACGCAGCTATCGCATAGCCGGCGATTTAGATGCCTGTGTCAGAATCTATCTGGATCATCTGTGCGATCCACATGCCGCCTCCGAAATTGTGCTGGAGTCACGCTCCATGGATTCGGCCAAACTGCTGGCCAAGTTCTATCAGAAAATTAATGACATTGAGCAGGCGTTGCAGTTTCTTGTCATCTGCGGCTGTGTGGAGGAGGCTTTCGCTTTGGCCCAACGTCACAATAAGCTGCGTCGTCATGGCGAGCTCCTGGAACGCTATGAGAATGCCAAATCGGCAGACTATCTGGCGCTGGCGCATTACTTTGAGAGCGAGAAGTATACGCTGCTGGCGGGCAAATATTACTTTCTGGCCAGGGAGTTTACCAAGGCGTTGCGCTTTCTGCTAAAAGCCTCCGCTTTCAGCAATGAGGAGTCGCAGGCGCTTTCGCTTGCCATTGACTGTGTGGCCACCTCCAACAATGAGCAGCTGGCCACGCAGCTAATTGAGTTTCTGCTCGGCGAATCGGATGGCGTACCCAAGGATCCGCGCTATTTATTCCGCTTGTACATGGCGCGCAAGCATTACAAGGATGCGGCCAAGACGGCTGTCATTATAGCCAATCAGGAGCAACTGGCCGGCAACTATAAGTCTGCACGAGATTTGCTTTACTCCATGTACCAGGAGCTGCGACGCAATAATCTGTCGGTCACTGCCGAAATGCGCCACAACCTGATACTGCTGCATCGCTATACGCTGGTGCGCATCCATGTCAAGCTGGGCAATCATCTGCTAGCCGCCAAACTGCTGGTACAGGTGGCCGCCTGCATATCACAGTTTCCGGAGCGTGAGTATTCAGTAGCCTACAACCATACATAGTTGCTAATTCTTCAATTCCCGCTCAGACATTGTGCCCATACTCACATCTACAGTGATTGAGTGTCATCGCGCAGGCCTCAAGAAGTCCGCCTTTATGTATGCCTCCACGCTGATGCGTCCGGACTATCGCAATCAGCTGGACACTCGTTACATCAAGAAGATCGAATCGATAGTGCGCAAAGCGCCCAAGGGCGTAAAGCAGCTGCGCGATGAAATCGACGACGAGACTATGGAATGTCCTATATGCGATGCTAATTTAGCCAACATGGAGGTCACCTGCTACAGCTGCAAGACCACGCTGCCCATCTGCATAGCAACGGGTCAGCACGTAATCAAGCAACAAATGACATCGTGTCCGCAATGCGATTTTCTTTGCTTTCGCGCCGAAATGGAGAAGTGGGTGCACACTTTATATTTTTGTTATATAAAAATATAATTCATACACTATGATTACAGCATACTCTCGGAGAATGGCGACTGTCCTATGTGTGGGGAGCGCGTGGCGCCTGAGCAGCTGCTCGATGTGGAGGATATACGCCCCTATATCTTGGCCGCCTCCTAGACTCAATACTTAAGTACTACTAATAGACTGCACTGAACAACACCAAATAGTATTTATAAGTTATTTAAAGCATTGTATACATGATGCCAAGCACCAATTACACAGATACAGAAAACATAAGCGATTATTATTGCAGTTCGTAAGTTTACAATGTTTTGCTAAAGCGACTTGGCTAAGAGATCGGAGGATCACAGTTTCTTTCCAAATATCCACAAGAGTAACCTTTACACAAGCTTCAGTTCTGGGTTTACTGGAAGAGATGAGTACAGGTTAACATACTATACCAAAAATCCAATAGTACTTACTCTTTTCTAGCACAGATCTTATTGAAAACTCCATCGTAGAGAAACCTTCCTTATAGTCACAGCTACTCCCAAGGACATAAACTTAAAGCCCTCGAAATGCTCTTCTAAAATTTCATTTATTTCTAGAAAAAGCATATGAATTTAACAAAAACAATAACAATTTGCATATTGGTAATAAAGTATTACTTTTTCAACTGCACGGCGAATTTGGTGGCTTGGATATCACACTCGGGCAGACTTGATTTGAGGCTGCGCGCCACTTCTTCCATATCCTTGACGTAGATCATGTCAAAGATGATCAACTGCTTCAGATTGCTCAGCTCACTGATGATGGCCAAGCCCGAGTCGCTGATGTTGTAACAGCCGGACACCTGCAGACGTGTCAGCGACTTGGTAATATGAGACAGCCCGTTCAGACCCTCATTCTCCAGGTGCTTACAATTGTGAAAGATGACAGTGTCTATGTGGTCGCAGCCTTTCAAATGTTCGAGCCCAATTTTCATGACCGAGGAATTTGTGGCATCTACAACTTTAATGCGAAACGCAGTGTTCTCCGACGGTAGCTGATTGTAGTCTTTCCATAGTTTGGTGGGACTTTCTGTAAAGCGTACGCCACCACCGTTTTTTACCACCCACTCGGCGCAGAGACGATTAGGACCCACCTTTGCCAAACGATCTGCGTCCACCTGATTGAAGGCCACAGCCACATAGCCCCATATACTGCGCGTTGGTGTTGCAAATGTTACGGACTCTGCATGATGAGGTTTGGCGGCGATGTGCAAATAATTTTGCTGAACGCCAGCGCCTTGCAATATTAAACGTTTCGATAATGATTTAATAACTGTGTGTAACAACGACATTGCTAAAAACCAAAACAGCTGTTCTGATTCAGCACACAGCTATGTGCGTTATACAGCACTATTGTTGCAACGAACGAGTGGGTGAAAAATTAATGTTGGTCTTAATTTAAAACGCCTTTAACGGTTGTTTTTCCCATCGAAACTTTATCCATTTTTGAATTTAGTTGAAAAACAACTTTTTTACAAATAAATTTTATTAACATTTTATAAATGACATATTTTTGAATTTACCAGCACTGCTACGGCAGCCCTGATTTTGGCCGCAGCGCAGCTGAACAAATACACTCAACTTATCGATATAATATTTACAATCAGTTCTCGTTCAGTTGTCAAAGCGTAAGGTCGTCGCGTTGCGCATAAATGTTTGCGTTTCTCTACGCTTAATTAATCGAAAACAAAAGCGCGTGTGTGTTGCCAATCAATACAAAACTAAGCAGAAACACAAAATAATGCAATGCATGTGAACAGAATATATGTGATAACACATAATAATCATAACGCGTTGCATTTAAGCAGGCAACAAAATTCTAATAGTGCAAGTGAGAACTCTACAGAGAGATAGAAAGAGAGAAAGACCAAGAGCGCCTGCGAGAGCGAGCATAAAATCACAGTCACCGCAGCAATAACAAAAATAAATACATACACATATACATATATGGTACGTACATAGTTTTTAAGGCAGTTTAACTTTTACATCGCTTTGTTTTGTTACGCATTTGGCGGCAACAATCAAAACAATCAAACGAAAAACCAAATTCAATCTTGATAGGCATAACATACAGCATACATACATACAGTATGCACATACAAACACACGCATATGCGAGGCGCGCATTAAATAAAAATAAGTTCTGCCGCTGCGTTTCGTTTATTTTGTATGTGTCTGTATGAGTGTTTGTGTGTTGTGTCGGTGTCAGTGACGTTGCGTCTCAGTCGCTGTCGCTGCCTCCGTCGCTGTCCCGCTGCTTGCGCGCGCGTCAGCATCGAACGTGTTAAAGTGACGAATAAACAACACAGAATCGTTCACTAGAAAAGATACGACAAATAGACAGACAGACCGACAGCCAAACATTTGTACATTTCTTTCACACAAACACACACACACGCATACAAGCAGAAACACACACACACACGCTGGGTCTTTATGGCCGCAGCAGACATTTTGGCTGCTCCGTTCGCGCAATTTGTTTATATGAGTGCAGCCGCAGCCCCCCACCCTTCACCAACAACACTGCTTGCTAGGTGTGTAAATTCCCTACCGCGCCCCACCTCCCACACCCCCCATTGCCACACGTCTCAGCCAGCAGTTTTCATTCACGCTAATTTTGCCTTCAGTTCTATTTTTATACCCATTTTAAATGGCCAATAAAGGGTATATTGCATTTGTGCATCTTCGAGCCCATAAAGTTTAGTATCGATTTCTATTCCCTATCTTTGAGAATGTCTTACTGATTATAAGAGCTAGAGGCATTTAATTAAGCATATGTGCTTCTTTAAGAAAGAATTTGTCACGGTTTTAAATATTCATTAATGTATTTGTAATGTATATTGCGCGTATAGGGTATCTCCCAGTCGAGCTTTATCGCCTATAGCACTCTTACTTGTTTTCTACTTCCACTTTTTTTTTTCGTCTACTCCTGAGGCACCCAACTGTGTGTGCTCGCGCGTTTGTGTGTGTGTGTGTGTGCCAAGATGAAGAATGATATGCAGCAATGTTAGATGATAAATAGCGCGCTATATTAAATGATTTATTTTGCCTGCCTGTCTGCCTGCCTGCCCTCCCCTTTGCCCTCTGCCCCCGCCCGGCTCTGGCCCCAGGTTCATTGTGCCCGTTTCTCGCTTTGCATCTCTTGACCGTAGCTAAAGGCATCCATCTATGGGCTAATGCTAATGCCTATGCTGCCTTTCAATCTGTATCTATATCTGTTGTTGTTGTTGTTCTCATTGTTGTTGTTGCTGTGGCTCTGGTAATTGAACAACCAATTGTACAAATCCGCGGTACAGTCACAACTTGCGCCTTTATTCAGTTTAATAAAAGCGCACAATCTGAAAGTTCAAGAAATCTTTTCTATAGCATCTCTCATTCCATTTATCCGAAAGCAAAACGAATCTTGTACAAAAAAAAAAAAATAAAATAAAATTGAGTTAAGTTCAATTGGGGACTATAACTGCATATAAGTCTTGTTATAGAATACATTATATGATATTTAAAATTTTTATTTGAATACTAAGTGGAATATGACATATAACTAATAGAACTTAGGCGAAAATCTAGAATCTAATTGAAGGATAATATTCTGTTATACCTATGATAGAATTTTCTTTTTAAACTACACAGATTTGAGTATAATAAATGTATGAGAAATTTAGAATAAGAACTTCTAACATTAAGAATTAATAAGGGTTTTTTAATCCTATTAATCCTGACACAAAGTTTTGGAAATATCAAGGTTTTTTGAACCTGGAATCATTAAGAAAACAAAACAATTATATTAATATATTTATTAAGTTTATTGTTCTAAATTGCATTTCAAAAATGTAGTAATATTATTCTTTGTTTATGATTTGTTGAGCTCTTCTCAACATTTAGAAACAGTTCAGAATGCATTTGAGCTCTTCTCAACACTTTTAAACAGTTCAGAGTGAACAAATGCGTTTGCGAATTCCTTTTTGCCTTGCCAATATTTTGGCATTCATTTTGAAACCTTTTAAACTGTTCCAAACTTTTTATATATCCAGTTTATACTTTATATAAATCAATCAAACCTGACACAAAGTTTTTGAAAGATCAAGTTTCAAAGAATTGATTTTTATGAATTGCATTAGGAAAATGTGCTAATATGATCTATTAAATATGATTTGTTAAGCACTTCTCAACACTTAGAAACAGTTCAGAATGCAGTTTAGCGCTTCTCAATACTTTTAGACAGTTCAGAGCGAAGAGATTCGTTTGCTAATTCCTTTTTGCCTCGTCAATATTTTGGCATTCATTTGTCAAACTTATATATCCAGCGCTATATCCGGATTGCAGCTATTATAAATCGTTAGATTAATCAATTGAAATGCCATTCGCCTGCTGACTCAATTATTTCATTTATTGTTGGGGATTTCATTTCGCCTCGCCACTAATCGCATATCATTTCCACAGCATTTCCACTGGCTTTAATCATTTGCCATGGTCGTCGCAGAGGGGGAGCGGGGGGTGTGGAGAGCAAGAGATTGGAAAAAACATGAAAACAATTTCTAAAAAATGTGCTTTTTTTATGGGCCATTTATGCGGCTTGTGTTTTGTTTTTGCCATTTGCTTTTTGTTTTTGTATTTATTTATTTTTTTCAAATTAGTTATAATTACACTTAATGCAATTTAGTTATGAGGCTCTGTTGTTTTTTTTCCACTGTTCGTGCTGGTTTTATTTTTTTTGAACCCCGCGCTCTTCCTTGCTTTTTTGCCTGCTGTTTCTTTCTCTTCGGGGGGTTTTTCACGATTTGTGTAAGTTGCATTCTTTTTAAAGCTTTAGAAAAAACGTTTTTTGTTACAAGGGCTTGCCATATATGTGTACATATGTATATGGTAGTGATGGGAGAGGGGGGTGCGAGGGGGCGGGGCCTTGCCGTTTCTATTGAGCACACGAGAGGTGTTAATGCATTCTGTATTTGTAGATTTCAGTTGGTCCGATAAGTTTAACCGCATTCTGAGTACCTGCCGTTGCCATATATTCTTCCACTTCATCTTATTTTTATTGCATATTGTTTGCGCTCAGCCAAGATCCGTAATGTGCTAAAATATTTATGAATTAGCAAGAAAGCCACGTTTCAGGTATAAAGATTGCTTAACGAACAATCGTGTCGGCAGAACTTAGGAAATAACTGGCGGGAGATGAAAAGTTGTAGACACGATGCTATGTACGGGTATTTTTTTTAAATTGAATGCTTCTAAAATTAGCTTTAAACATAGTTAATGGCATTCAGATTCAAGTACATATATAAGTTATGTACTTGGTTGCAGTTTCTTTAAGCACATGCTATATGATTTTCCTCTGTAAACCTTAGTCTAAACAATTGGTATCTAGGGTCTAAAAAAATATGACAGCAGAACAATGTGTCTTAAGAAAAGCTTATTCATACTATTCATAGATATTAATATTTTAGGCTTATCCAGGAATTATAAAAATGACACAAGAAAGCAAATAAGAGTAGATTCCCCAGATAAAATATCCCAACAAAAGCACATGTGCAATATAAGACCTTTATTTCCAATTAAAGACCTTTATTTCCCACAGATTCTTGGTTTTATATCAAAACTTATATTTTCCACCGATTCTTGCTATAATGAGCGTTAAATGATAAAGTCGTTCTGGTTAGATAAGATCAATTATGAGATTTAGGGACATAAATAGACGAATAAAAAAGTTGTTCATATAAAAATCTTTATTTTAACCATTCTTTCCTATGGTAGCTATATCATCCACTATGCCGATTATATAGCTGACATAGTAGATGTGATATATTACTATTTATATATATGTATAAAGATGATATATTATATGGAATCTATAGAAGATCTGAATTTAGAAGCATAAATTAGCAAATGAAAAAGTTGTTCACATAAAAATCTCTATTTACTATATGATATAGTGTGCCGATCTGGTTATATAGTTTATAAAGTAGATCTGATAATACTAAACTTTGATGTATACATAAAGGAATGAAAAAGAATTTTATATAAACATTTGTAATTTTACCCTTTTTTCCTATGGTAGCTATGTATATATACATATATTTTTGAAAAAGTTATTCATTCATAAATCTAAGATTTGATCGATTTTTCCTATATGGGAAGCTTAGTGATATAGTGTGCTGATTCGTCAGCCTTTAATACATGCAAAAACTTTAATATATCTCCAAACAAAAGACTAACGCCTATTTTTATGAGCACAAATTAAAAACTGAACGAAAACAGACGAAGAAGACTTGCGACTTAATTCTGGACATTGATCAGGCACATATATTACTTATAAGGTCGGATTAGTCTTCCTTAATTTGTTCGACATTTCGTGGCCAACTCATGGTACCCTATGCAAATGTATAATAAGAATATATGACTCATATTGTGCGCAATTTATGGCTCTCGCATCTTTAAGAGGATTAAATATGATTTATCGTTTCCTTCTTAAGAAGGGCTAGACATTTAAAGAGTTAGAGGATTGCCAAAGGAGATAGGCTCCGGCTCTAGCCATCTTTTATTATATGAAGAGCTTCATAAAGCATGAAATGTTGACCTTATTGCTCATCATAAACATTATAACTACGATTATGAATGCAATTAGTGTGAAACTCTGCTAGTTTTTCAATGTAAGCCATTTTCCATATCATTTAACTTGGCTTGCTTTTTTGATTCAAGCGTTTTTCCAGCTAAACGCAGGTTAGTCTGCGGCTGCGACGGCTCGTATATTATGTTATGGAGGGTGTTTGGTGTGAGATGGGGAGGGTGAGGCAGAAGCCTCAAGGTGTGAATTCTAGTTAAATTCAATATCACAATATGCGCATCATATGCGAGCTGCACGTATGCATATGAGCCGCCAATTTTAGCCGAAGATTATATCAAAAGAGGGTAGAGCTCATAAATAAATGCATTTAATGGTTGGCTGGCTGGCCGCT